TGACTTTTAGTCCATCGGGCCTCATCAAAAAACTTAACTTGACTTTGGCTCAAGCGCAAGTCAAACGGAGGGCAAATAAACAAAATATCTATATATATGTATAAATGTATATATGGCAAAGCGGTAGCAAATTGCTCGCCAAATATTATTTCTTTTTTAATAATTTGACCAACGGAAAGAAAACAACTTGGTGCCGAGCATAGAAGATTGAAATCCAAGAACCAGAACAAGAGCCGGCCCAAAAAGCTGGCTAAAACCCACACCAGGAAGTGCTATACACAGGCAATGCCAACAGCAACAGCAACAGCAACAACAGCAACAACAGCAAGAACAACAACAACAACGGCAACATGAGTCGAAATTGTAGTTGTACAAACACGTCAGCTTTTAAATTACTTGGCCTAAAGGTAAATTGAGCGGAAGTTAAAATGTTGGAAAAACAGCACGAAAAAAGCAAAACCAAAAACACGGGGTGCTTGCTGGCCCAGTGGGTGGCCTAATGGGTGGTTCGGAGTGGGTGGTGCAGTGGTTCGCTGGCTCGGTGGCTCGGTGGCTCGGTGGTTCATGGTGTAACGGAATACAGTGCCAGTTAAGTGGCGGGAAAATGGCGAAAGGGACGGAGTGGTGTCCATAACAACAGCAACAAGAGCCGAGCTCGTGAAGAGAAAAGGCGGCACACGGCAAATTTGCCGGGAGTAAACGCAAGTATAATAACAACCGAAAGCAAGTTTTTCGGCTCAACTTGTTGTTGTTGTGGCAGTAGGTACTACTTCCTCCTTCTATGAAACTCAGTGGCATACAGAACGTAATTTCAACTAAACGAACCGGCAAACAAAAACAAACAAACAGCGAATGGCGAATGGCGAACGGCGAACGGCGAACAGCAACGAAATATTATTTTAGCTGGCTTGCATCCTTCCTGCAGCCTTGCGGCCAACAGGAGAATCGCTGCCATACAAATGCATATACACAGATCTATATATTTTTATACATCTACACCTACACATACCTTCTCTACATTCATATGCCGGCGGGATAAGTTGGCGAAATTGTGCAATAATAAAATATTTGCAATGTACTCGAAGCGCGGAACGCCAGCGACAGGCGGGCTGGTGGCTGGTTGGCTGGCTGGCAACTGCATTTTCATAAAGTGCAGCTCATAATAAAGCCGCGGTGGGTGGATTGGCGTTGGTTTGGCTATGGCTTTTATATGGGCCCAAGTAGAATCACCTACATACACACCACCCACCCCGAATAAAAAGCGCAAATAAATATGAGCAGCAGTAGTTGCAGCAACAGCAGCAGCAGCAGCAGCAGCAGCAGCAACAAGCCGAACCAAAACAAACAACAATGGCAACAGCAGGAAGGCCAAAACAAAACCAAGCCAGGACTACAAAGCCAAACAAAACAAAACAAAACGCATACAATGGCGACCGGCAATGGCAATGTAAAAAACAAAAAATATAATAAAGCCCGCGAAAATATTTGCAGCGGGCATTGAGAAATGTTGCGCAATAAAAATTGCATTTTTATGCTGATGTTTGAATTTCGCATGCAAATGAAAAACGAACAGTGCCAACCGAAAAACAACAGTCGCCCCTCCTTGGCCATCGGAATCTCGACCCTATAGCTACCCGATAGCTAAGAATTGAACTATCTAATTTAAAGCGTAACCATATCATCATGGTATTTACATTTCTTATCGCTATCATATTGGCAATAGCATCTCTTTTTTGAACTCGCAGCTGTCAGTCTTGATAAATCTATCACGTGTCAAACAAATTATGCAATTTCCGCCAGCAATAAAAGGTAAATCAATAAGAGATAAACTTGGTAGACTTTATTTGAATATATGCATGTAAAAAGTTACAGATACGCGTAATATTTTATAATTCTTGAAAGAAACAAATGTCACAGCCTAAATATAACTGTTCACGCATCAAATTTAAACAACTTAAATGCATGTCTTGTATATAGTTATAAAATCGTTTAACCATCATATGCTGAAACAAATTTGTATGTTTCAGTTCATAAAAAACTTCATTGTGCTACTGCGTAAATAAGCAATTTAAATAGGAAATACTATAAAAGACTTGATCTTAGTGAATTATTTCCTTAACGCGCAGCCATCAAAGGGAATGCCACTAAACTCAATAGCAGTTTTGCGGCCAAATGGAGTGGATTTAATACTCCTTTGATACCCTCTGTCTGTCGTGTTGCATAGACAACAAAATGGTCTGGAAATAAAAACGAATGGTGGAAGGGAACTGCGAACTAGGAATCTCGGGGCAGGAAGTGGAGCTGCCGCTGCTGCTGCCGCTACCGCTACCGTTTTCCCCGCCACCGGCATCGCGGATTTTCCCGCTTTTCCCCGGCTTTTCCAACGCTTTTGCGCTCCCATTTCCCAGCACTTTCTCCATGGCGGCTTAGCTGAGACTTTGCGCCCACGCTCCACGTGTTTATGACTTTGAATTGCAACTTCATCCGCCGTGCGGGCCGCCGTTGTCCTGAGTCCTTAGTCCGTAGTCCTGCTGTTCCAGTTGTTGTTGCTGCAGCAGGTCCTGTTTTAGTTGTTGCCACAGCCGTGTGCCTTGTGCCGTGTGCCGTTCGCTGTCGGTTGCAATGATGGCGGCGCATAGCGCGCATTGTGACGCGAAATGGCGTCGAGTTGAATAATCCAACATGGCGTTTTGCCGCCGCCGTCGCGGCCAAAAGAGCTGCACTGGTATTTGTGTTTCAGCAGCTATGTTTGTGTGCGTTTGTGCTGTCTGTTTCCGGCAGCCGGATAAAAAACTTGGCGTTAAAGTGTTAATATTTTGAGTTTTGAGAGCGTCGGACTGGCAGGACATGCAAATCCTGTACAACAACGTCTGAGCAACGGAGGGGCTTATGTACGAGTAGTTCTATTGGAGCACCATGGAGCGTCAGCTTCGACGCTGTTTCCCCTCGACGCTGACACTTGTTCAATTCAAATAGCACGCCAGAGCCCCCGACATTGATGTCCTGGCACGGCATTCCGCCGCTTTTCCGCTTTTCGGGCCTAGCTCCGTCCGGAATGGGAATCGGGATCGCAACGCTACGGCTTGCTATGCATAGCTATGGTATGGAATCGGAATGGACTGAAGCTTCCCTTGGTATGGCGTGCCCCGGCGAGCCGCATTTATGTTATCTTTAATTTTTCACTACGAAATTGGCCGTGGGAGTGCAGTTCGAATTGCCAGACAACAAGCATATTTATTTATATTGCCCCGCCGTTCGACCCCAATGCGAACTGTCATGAACTTACAGGGCAGATGGAGCACTTCAGTTGCCACGAAATGGGAGTGATTGCGCGGAATGGGGATGGTGTCCTTCGCCACCTGTGAACGGGAAACAGATCAAGTTGGGGGTGCCTAATGGAAAGAAACATTTGGGCACTTGACTGTCAATTTAATGAGCTTTTCAAAAATAAATGTGCTGATAATGTAGGATTCTTAAAGTGAAATTTATAATAATAAGTAATCGCTCGCACCAACACATTAATTATACAATAATTGCGATTGTGAATAACTTAAAAAGTCATCATTGATCATCTTAAATCCGTAACTTGATGTTTTGATGAGGCCATATACGATGCTGATTCGCTTATATCTAGTACTTATTACATCTTACCTAAGGCAAGGTAACTTACACTTCACACTTCCCTCAGAGCATTTTCACTTCAATTGCAGGTGAGTTTGAGTGGCAACCGCCGAATAGCTTCCCACTCGGAAGGCTTAGAGTCAATGCAGCATATTAATGATTGGCTGCGAACCAATGTTTGACCATCGTTCGGTAAACGGGCACAAGGGCTTTCGATCTTGGCCAATTAATCAATCGGGCAACGCATGGCGTGGTCAGCTTGCCCAAGTTCCCCCAATTAGACCGCTGCGGTAAATGTTCGCTTAGCAGGAAAGTGGCAGGCAGATGGAAGTATTGGAGGCATGAATACTGAATGACAAATAAGGCATCATCGTTACCATTATCATCATCATCGCCATCGCCATCACGAACGCAGGCACCAATTAAATAGCGCATTTTCTTTGTCGGTTTATCGCTGATTGGCCGGTGTAAATTTCAGTTTTACTTAAAAATTAATTATCATCAGGTTGGGATCGGCTTGTTGATTTTGCCAGCGGGACAAATGGACGGACGGTATGAAGCGGTCATGTCACATTAAGCATACGCACTGTGTACGCAGCGCATAACTGACGGCAAGCCAAGCAATCAAGCGAACTGCCACCAAAGCCCCGCATCCTCCACGCAAATCCCTCCCAGGCAGCCGCCAAACCAATTCCAGAGTCCGGCAAACAACTTGCCAGACTGCAAAATACAAAAAAAATGAAAGAGAGATGGAAAAAATTGTCAGGCTGGCGTTTAAAACCAGTTCGCATCAATTTAAGCGGACATATGCTTAACTTTACTTGCGGTGATTTTTCAACTTGGCCCGCAGAGTTGCAGGTTGCATGTAGCAGTTACCTGAAGACCATCCACCCCCTCCCCCTCGTACTACGCCCCTGGAAAGTGAAGAGGGTGAGGTGGAAGGAGGGCGAATGGCTGGAGTGCTTTGCACATTGACAGCGTTAATTAACTTTTAATTTAATTTCGCGTAAATGAGTTTTTACTGTCAGCGCGCGTTGCTTTATTTAAGCTGACAAAAAACGCAATTTGCAATGCAAGAGTTTTTCCAGTTCGAGGGGGCCAAGCGATCGAGCCAGCCAGCCAGCCAGCCAGCCAGCCAGTCAGCCAGCCAGTCAGCATGCTTTTAAGCGCGGTTTTCAAATGTGGCTGCGATGTCGTCAGCCAGTGTCAATTTATGCCGCCAAAGTGAAAATCCAAACTGAAAGATTTATGCAGGCGACACACTACCACACATACGCACACACACGCACACACACGCGCACACACACGCACACACACGGGGGGCACACACATATTTTATTTATATTTTTCACTCGCAAATGTGATTTATACGAAAAATCTCAGCAACAACATGGCTCTGGCTTGCTGCGTGTGCGTGTGAAATATTTTGCAGCGTTTGAGCTTTTTAAATTCAATTTCCAGCCAGCTAAAGAGAGATGGAGTTGCAGTTGCAGTTGCAGATGCATGAATTCGGATTCAGACGCCGATGGCAATGTCGATGCGGGCATCGCGGATTTTCCCGCTTTTCCCCGGCTTTTCCAACGCTTTTGCGCTCCCATTTCCCAGCACTTTCTCCATGGCGGCTTAGCTGAGACTTTGCGCCCACGCTCCACGTGTTTATGACTTTGAATTGCAACTTCATCCGCCGTGCGGGCCGCCGTTGTCCTGAGTCCTTAGTCCGTAGTCCTGCTGTTCCAGTTGTTGTTGCTGCAGCAGGTCCTGTTTTAGTTGTTGCCACAGCCGTGTGCCTTGTGCCGTGTGCCGTTCGCTGTCGGTTGCAATGATGGCGGCGCATAGCGCGCATTGTGACGCGAAATGGCGTCGAGTTGAATAATCCAACATGGCGTTTTGCCGCCGCCGTCGCGGCCAAAAGAGCTGCACTGGTATTTGTGTTTCAGCAGCTATGTTTGTGTGCGTTTGTGCTGTCTGTTTCCGGCAGCCGGATAAAAAACTTGGCGTTAAAGTGTTAATATTTTGAGTTTTGAGAGCGTCGGACTGGCAGGACATGCAAATCCTGTACAACAACGTCTGAGCAACGGAGGGGCTTATGTACGAGTAGTTCTATTGGAGCACCATGGAGCGTCAGCTTCGACGCTGTTTCCCCTCGACGCTGACACTTGTTCAATTCAAATAGCACGCCAGAGCCCCCGACATTGATGTCCTGGCACGGCATTCCGCCGCTTTTCCGCTTTTCGGGCCTAGCTCCGTCCGGAATGGGAATCGGGATCGCAACGCTACGGCTTGCTATGCATAGCTATGGTATGGAATCGGAATGGACTGAAGCTTCCCTTGGTATGGCGTGCCCCGGCGAGCCGCATTTATGTTATCTTTAATTTTTCACTACGAAATTGGCCGTGGGAGTGCAGTTCGAATTGCCAGACAACAAGCATATTTATTTATATTGCCCCGCCGTTCGACCCCAATGCGAACTGTCATGAACTTACAGGGCAGATGGAGCACTTCAGTTGCCACGAAATGGGAGTGATTGCGCGGAATGGGGATGGTGTCCTTCGCCACCTGTGAACGGGAAACAGATCAAGTTGGGGGTGCCTAATGGAAAGAAACATTTGGGCACTTGACTGTCAATTTAATGAGCTTTTCAAAAATAAATGTGCTGATAATGTAGGATTCTTAAAGTGAAATTTATAATAATAAGTAATCGCTCGCACCAACACATTAATTATACAATAATTGCGATTGTGAATAACTTAAAAAGTCATCATTGATCATCTTAAATCCGTAACTTGATGTTTTGATGAGGCCATATACGATGCTGATTCGCTTATATCTAGTACTTATTACATCTTACCTAAGGCAAGGTAACTTACACTTCACACTTCCCTCAGAGCATTTTCACTTCAATTGCAGGTGAGTTTGAGTGGCAACCGCCGAATAGCTTCCCACTCGGAAGGCTTAGAGTCAATGCAGCATATTAATGATTGGCTGCGAACCAATGTTTGACCATCGTTCGGTAAACGGGCACAAGGGCTTTCGATCTTGGCCAATTAATCAATCGGGCAACGCATGGCGTGGTCAGCTTGCCCAAGTTCCCCCAATTAGACCGCTGCGGTAAATGTTCGCTTAGCAGGAAAGTGGCAGGCAGATGGAAGTATTGGAGGCATGAATACTGAATGACAAATAAGGCATCATCGTTACCATTATCATCATCATCGCCATCGCCATCACGAACGCAGGCACCAATTAAATAGCGCATTTTCTTTGTCGGTTTATCGCTGATTGGCCGGTGTAAATTTCAGTTTTACTTAAAAATTAATTATCATCAGGTTGGGATCGGCTTGTTGATTTTGCCAGCGGGACAAATGGACGGACGGTATGAAGCGGTCATGTCACATTAAGCATACGCACTGTGTACGCAGCGCATAACTGACGGCAAGCCAAGCAATCAAGCGAACTGCCACCAAAGCCCCGCATCCTCCACGCAAATCCCTCCCAGGCAGCCGCCAAACCAATTCCAGAGTCCGGCAAACAACTTGCCAGACTGCAAAATACAAAAAAAATGAAAGAGAGATGGAAAAAATTGTCAGGCTGGCGTTTAAAACCAGTTCGCATCAATTTAAGCGGACATATGCTTAACTTTACTTGCGGTGATTTTTCAACTTGGCCCGCAGAGTTGCAGGTTGCATGTAGCAGTTACCTGAAGACCATCCACCCCCTCCCCCTCGTACTACGCCCCTGGAAAGTGAAGAGGGTGAGGTGGAAGGAGGGCGAATGGCTGGAGTGCTTTGCACATTGACAGCGTTAATTAACTTTTAATTTAATTTCGCGTAAATGAGTTTTTACTGTCAGCGCGCGTTGCTTTATTTAAGCTGACAAAAAACGCAATTTGCAATGCAAGAGTTTTTCCAGTTCGAGGGGGCCAAGCGATCGAGCCAGCCAGCCAGCCAGCCAGCCAGCCAGTCAGCCAGCCAGTCAGCATGCTTTTAAGCGCGGTTTTCAAATGTGGCTGCGATGTCGTCAGCCAGTGTCAATTTATGCCGCCAAAGTGAAAATCCAAACTGAAAGATTTATGCAGGCGACACACTACCACACATACGCACACACACGCACACACACGCGCACACACCCGCCCACACACGGGGGGCACACACATATTTTATTTATATTTTTCACTCGCAAATGTGATTTATACGAAAAATCTCAGCAACAACATGGCTCTGGCTTGCTGCGTGTGCGTGTGAAATATTTTGCAGCGTTTGAGCTTTTTAAATTCAATTTCCAGCCAGCTAAAGAGAGATGGAGTTGCAGTTGCAGTTGCAGATGCATGAATTCGGATTCAGACGCCGATGGCAATGTCGATGTGATGTCGAGGCCAGCCGTTGCATAAATAAGCGCTTTAGACCACTGTGCAAAAATGGGGGGAATGCGGTGCTCGGTGGTGGTGGTGGTGGTGGTGGTGGTGGTGGCAACTCGAAGTGGAAGTTGAGTTTCGGCCGCACAGAAGGTGTGTGTTTTATTAATTGCCAGCGCCAATGCCACAGTTGCCGCAGCAGCCGCGGCCAAGAGAAATATGCGAGCAATGCACGCATGCGGTTCCCTCAGTTTTCCCGCCCACCCCCTTTTCCACCCTTTCCCACTTTGCCGCCCCAGTTTTCCCGCGACTTTTCCTCCTCCTTTCCTCCTTTCATGCAGCACCAACTGCCGACCATTCCGAGTGGGCAGTCGCACGTTATATCGTTAATGAAAACTGATTCTAGTGTCATTAACGTGCGAGCTCTCCAGACCATTTCGAGTGCAACGCGAGCAGTATCTCTCAGCGTCCTTGGGGCACCGCTGCCACCTCGACACCACGACACCCGTCCACCATGCTCATCCTCATCCTCACCCCTCTTCAGTCCAGTGCCAGCGTGCATGACGAGTCATTTAAACTGATGCGTCGCCAACTGAGTGAGCAACTGATTGCGTCCTGCCACTCCACAGTCCGCAGTCCGCAGTCCGCAGTCTGCAGTCTGCAGTCTACAGTATGATGTCCAAAGTCCCCTTTCGATCCCCAATCTCCCAATCTCCCAGTCCACCCATACCCATGTACTCCTCGTTACTGAACCCGCTGACGACTTAATGACAGTCATACAAAATACGACAGCGGTGCGAAAATTGCAAGGCTTGCCATCAACACTGCAACACTGCTCCCGATGATTACCTTTTAATGCAAATATAAAAAACGAAAGAACAACATAAACCGATCGGAAGGCAAGGAGTCGCAACAAAAATGCTCTTAATAACATCGGCGATTTTAGGAAACACTTAAGTGGGTTGTGTTTGTTTTAGGGTTGTACGATACCATAGGAATTTAAGTGAACAACCAAAAAGGAAACAAGTTTTTTTGAAACTGGTTATGCAACTTAAAGAAATGCCGACACTGCACTGAATAATATCCGTTCATAACTTTAGTTATTTAATATAAGCCCAATTAATACAAAATACCTAATAGTACTATTTAATATTTTCAATTTGTTACATGTATTTGGTGAATAGGCTTGTTTGAGTTCATTTCTGTCTTTGAAAAAAGGGATCTATGAAAATGAAATAAAACTCTGTTCGACATGGTTCAGAAGTGAACTGTATATAATTGTAACTATAATTATCAAAAAATCATTTGGGGCTCTATTAAGCTTACAACCTCTGTGTGCTTAAGATCAACTTAAGATATTCAACTATTGTGGAACACCGCAGTTCAAACAGCGTGAATGATTCAATAATTGTGATCCGAGCTGCTTGATTTGATTGACGAGTGCAAGCCGCCTGCTCGGGTCGGACACGCCCCTAAATACGCAGGGTATAATCAAAAGCGATGGCAGGAGCAGAAACAAAGGCGACCGTCCGACAAGCTGACAAATAAAAAATCCAAAAAGGAGAAAACAAGCGAAACAGAGCGGCCCGAAGGGGAATCGCGGCATCGGGGATCTGGACAGAGCTTCACTTGCCATGGCATGGCATGTGTAAATGACGCTTAAAATTGAAAAATTAAATGAGAAATTATTATGTGTGGCAGGAGGTTGGAGGGCGGAGGTAGGAGGGAGGAGGCAGCCACAGGAGGCGGCAGGAATCCGGACCAGGGTATCCTGCCCCGTGGGACATGTGTGTTAATGTGCAAGTGTGAGGCGACGGCGCAGTGTCATTAAATTAATTTGTCAAATATGTATAAAATAATAAATTACCTTTTTGTCAGTTACTCGTTTATTAATTTGTACATGGCAACAACTTCTCGGAGCTGCGCGACAAAAAGGACCAAAGTGTGTAAAAAAAAACAGGACGCGCCACTGTCCAGAAGTCAACTAGCATAAAAAATTATGATGTGTAAAAAGTAAACACACGCGCGGTAAAAAAAACACAAAGCAGCGGAAAAACTGGGTGGAAAATGGGAGAAAGCGGTGGTATACCATATATATACCCTATATATTGTGATGGAGGTGGAAGAATTGGACAAATTGCCTGGCTGCTCATCGTGTATCGTTTAATAGGGACGACCCACCACAACCCACACCAATGCATACACACACATGCACATACACACACACACACATACTCGTATATGCACGTCACATGTTTTTGGGGCATTTTTATTTCACAGCTCTGGCCGAAAGTTGAATGATTTATGATTTATTCAATGCAACGGATAAAACGATGCCAACGACGAGGACTCTGTGACTCCGCTGTCTGTCAAATTATTTTTTAATGTGTCTATTAAAAAATTCAACAGCTGCATCAACAACTGCAGAAACAACTAGATCAACTATAGGTGGTACTCTGGTAGGTAGGTGCCGCGAATCGAGGCGTTCAGGTGGAGATTTTCGGGGGATTTGGCGCCGGCATTAACATGGAACCAATATAAATGGCATGCCAAATTGTAGTGGATGAACAAATTTGCCGCTTCATATGCGAGTGTGGCAATAAAAACTTGTAGAGCCAAAGCCAAATGCGATTTGGTGGGGCATTTGTTTTAAATTACCCTGGCGTGTAAGTGATGAACTGGTGTGTCTGTATGTTTTCCCTCTTTGTTTTTTCGCTTTTTTGGGTTTTTTTTTTGCATTTCGGTTCGGCCAGTGTAACAGCAAATTGAGCAGTCGCCATAAAACAACAAACAAACTTAGCCGTTTTGCGGCGCTACCCACGACCAGCAAAAGGAAAAAAGGGAGCATTGAACTCGCCCCACCAGTAGATTTCCCGAAAAAATACATGGGGCTACATGATGAGCCATAAAACTATTGCAGTTATTTGGAGTAGATTGCACGGGCGGCGATACCCAGATACTTATGGGATAAGGTGGAATAAATATTTCCGTTGGCGGCCCAAAGGCGATTGCAATTCAGGCCAAAGCTCCTATAATGCCAACTTATCCAGTTCCTATCATAAATACAAGTTTGTGAGACCGTGGTTTTCCTGTTTTCGAACCCAAGAGCTCTGAAAATAAAGGGGAAAACGTGAGCGTGTTTTTATTTATTGTGGTTGGGATACAAAAAAATATAGAACCCTAACGTACAATCGCTTTAAAGAAAAATAAGTATTTTATTTACGAAAATCGCCTTGGCACTCGATAGCGATCATCAGGAGACATAACCACTTGATAATAGTTGAACACAATAAAAGAAAAAATGAAAAAGAGCGCTAAGGGTCAAGTATTATAAGGAACAGACAACAACACATACGAATGATAAACGGACTCACCCAAAGGTATTATTAGCCAGTGAATAAAAAATATGCCTATTCCGCAGAAAACTATGGATGAACCCACCAAACACCGAACATCCTGTATAAAAAGGGGATTTAAATAACATACTACAATGTAAATGAGTAAACGAAACAACCTTTAAGACACCAATAAGTAGCATGAATCCAGACAGTGTAAAATTGCCTCCACATATGCAACCAAAAACCAAAATAGCATTCGGTAGTTTTTGCCGTTTCACGAAGTCCACAACTAATGCTGTAAATTAGTGCATAATTTAATATTGTTTTTCAATATTTAAGAACCCTACTCACGGATAAATGCGATTCCGAAGATTATGTTGATACATGCCCACAAAACGCAAGCCCTGTACTTAGTGCAAATATTAAGGTTTGCTATAAAGGAAAACTTCTTGCACATGGTATTCCGAAAATAATAACACAAATTTTGACATTAAACGAAAATAAGCATGTTAAAACATAGACTTAGTTTGTTGTTCGGTTTGTTTGATCTTGGATTTCGTAAACAGCTGCTGAATCGCGCTTAGTTCGCGTTTTATAATTATCAAACTCGAATTATTATACATTAGCACCTGCTTGTAATTAATTGCCATGCAAATAACTCTGTTGGGACTCTGGTACATTTCCCCTTTCGCCCATATGGACAATGGTAAAAGTAAGCAAATAATGTCATTCAATTACAGAATTAAACTTTCCCCATTTCGTTTTCCATTGAAGCGTGAAAAGTGAACACAGTGTCGTCGCCGTTCAAACAGCTGAACCCTTCCCTCTTCCTTTTCCATTTCCACGTCCGTGTCCACCTGTTAACTAATCAAATAACTGAAGCGACACGAAAATACCCAAATGTGGTCATGTCAATGGTTTCGGCCGCCGGCGCTGACAGTGTCCAAATCCAATGCAAACAAAAGTGCAAATGAGTTCGAGAGTGCGACGCTAAAATGTTTGCCCAAGCCAAAATGTTAATGGTAATGACAGCTCCGAGAATTCGTTAACGAAGTACGGGCACGTATGGTTCAGTATGGTTCAGTATGGTTCCGCCGGATTCAAATCCCCCGGATTCAGATGAGCCCTCTCAGTCCATCACAATTTCCATCAGTGTGCATCAGCGCACCCAAAGGCCAACAAATGCCATTAAAAATTGCCACGTGAAATGCTTTCAAAAGCCATCAAGAGGGATGGGTTGTACGGGTATACTCGTATGTTTGGTATGTGCTTGCTATATGTATCCTAATTTCTGCCAACTAAATTAAAATATTTACGGGTAGATCTGCATGTATCCCAATTATACGCGACCCAAAATATGATAGTTAGACGGTCAGAGCAGAAACCAAAACCAAACTAAAACCGCACCAAGAAGACAACCCGGCTAAATCCCATAATTAAGCTTGTATGCATGTCCTTGTCGTCCTCGGTCTTCTCGCTTCTAGTCGTCCTTTTTGCGTGCATGTGATGTATTAATTTAGAGAAAACCAACATCCACCCACTCAGGCATCATCCTATCCCCGAGTAGAAACAACACCACATGGTCGACAATGGCAACCGGCAACCGGCAACGGCCACAATTACACCTACAGGAAGGCAGAGAGTACAGGACAATGGCAGGACACCGGGGCTCGGGAGTCTGGGAGTCTGGGAATTCTGGGGTTCCGGGAGCAGCAGCAACAGCAAAACTATTTCACAGCTAAAAATGCTGTTATGCGTTTATATTAACACGGATGTACCCGCACACACACCAGAACACCCCGAAATCGTGACACCCACTATATAGTAAAGTCGTGGAGGACACGAGGACACGAGGACACGTAGAAAGGTAGCCAGCATACATTAGCAGGCACGTAGGATGCAAACTAACTGTGCCATTGGACTAGAAATAGTATCAGCGATACGAATCATATGCGGCAGCGCCAAAAACGCAGACCAAGCCCAGACCAGGACCTCATCCTGCCATCCCCATCCACCCACCAAGATACGCCCCACTTATCCCATACGACCGCCCGATTCAGCGATGCGACTTGGTCGCACACGGTAATGTGGAAAAGCATCCTGCGGGGGCTGCCCAAATAGAAAAGAAAGATCCATACTTATCACAAGCATTCCCAAAATAATATGGAGAAGGAAACGCTTTTCGGTAAATATTCCATAATATAATCCATAATTCCATGCGCTACTCGCAAATGCAGCACTTTCATTTGTTTTTAAACAGCAATTGAAAACATTTATTTGCAGCTATCAGCAGAAAAGAAAATAAGCCAAAATGTGAAAATGCATTTCAATAAATATTGCATAATTATAGATGCATTCGCAAACACCAGGTTTCTTGTTATAAAAATCGTTTGATATATAAACATTTTTAGTGAAATGTACTCTATTTATTGAAATGATAATAGACATATTCAATACATAAATCCTAAAGTGTGCTAATCGCTGCGACAAATTGGTGAATTTGATTATTGTGTATAAAAAAACACTTATAAATTACAATAAGCCATGAAATATTTATGGAATGAAGGCAAATGAAATCGTGACAATTTGTTTTACTTCTATTAAAGTTAAATATCATGCAAATTTAAGCGCAACACTATGGGATTAGCATACTACAAATTTGTATAAAACGAATGTATTTGTTATGCGCTTGTTGCTGCAAAAAATGTATATAAAATAATTCATATTATGCATGTGACTTGGAAATGAAAGAACAAGAACTTTTAGAGAGGCCCTCGCATGGTGCAGGTTTCGTCACACGCTAAACAGTTGGCAAGTATTCGAAGGACTGGGCTGGGCGATCCGGATTCGGGATGGGGGATTGAAAGATTGGGGATTGGGGATCGGGGACGGGATATGAATACTATAGAGTGGGCCTGGCTGAAGCCGTAGGTGGGGATGTATCCTTTGTGCCTGCAAGGAGCGTTGGCAAAAGTTAGTTACGAGTGCGAACAATGATATTACGTAAAATATTTTGAAACTGCTGTCGTTGTCGACCTGCTCTCAGTTACGCTGTTCTCCGCCGGAGTTGTGTGGGTGTGGGTGTGAGTGTGAGTGTGTCCCTGTGTGTGGGTGATATGTGGGCGTAAAGTGGCAGGAAGTGGGGTGCGAGTTTGAGGGGGCGTGGCCGAGGGAGTTTCTGCGGCCATGTGGCATGTGACAGCAAAACGCTGCTGACTCCGAAGCTCCACCTTTGCCGTAATTGTGTCGCACATGACCCCTTTAGTGGAAGGATGGCACCCTTTTCGCTCTTCGCAACTCGTGGAAGGACAATGAGTGGGTCTGAGTGCAATAACCACAATTTCAGATTGAGATGGAGCCAAACATGGCCCCAACAGCCCCACCCACTCGATCCCAATTCCTCTGCTAGCCTAAGCGTAAGCTCATTACGTTTTGGCTTTGTTTTGGACTAATTAAATTTGAATGACTATTTTCACTTAAAAACTTTTTGCCCCACTGGTTGGGTTTTGCCCCACCATTTCAAACTCCTTCAGTGTTGTGGCTGCTTTTGCTTTTGCTATTGCTTTTATTTTTGTTTTTGTTTTTGTTTTTGTGTGTGTTTTTGGCGGTGGCACCAGGTTTTGTTCAAATGCTGCTGGGGTTGGCTGTTGGCTGTTGGCTGAAACTCTTGAGTGAGCCATAAACAATGTGGCTGGCAGCCTGGCTAAAAACCCAAAAACGCCACCCACCAGCGACCGCCCCAAAAATGCCAAAGTGTCGCACGGGTATCACACAAAATATTAGAAATGATACTTAACCACAGAATTGCAGAGCTTTCGCTCTTGGATCGAGTGGGTGTGGTTGTTTGCGGGTGGCTGTGTTCGTTGGGGGAGTTAATTGTTTGCGGGCCAACCGTTTGGGCCCCCATTTTCGCATCCGAAATGCCAAACTGTGAAATTAGCAGCAGCGCCAAATGGCAACCGGAAACGTCGCGCCAACCGGATATAAGCAACACTGGGTGCACCGCATTCAAGGGGCTGGATACCATGCCGTGCCATCGAGAGAATGTTGACAGCAACAATAAGCCATTTAAAAAATACGGCAACAAATTTATAAACTTTTCAATTAAAATCAAAATTGTTCGGTTGGCTGACCTCAAATGGATTTCATGATTTTATTAGCAAACCAATAGATGAATTCGCGTATTTAAAACTTAATGCAATCGCTTTCACATTTGCTTTCTGCCTTTTCATTTGCGGCCATAAATAGCCCCCAGGGGATAAAGGATATTATTTGGTTTTGTTTCAGCCGACTAGCCATGGTATCTACATATACTCGTATGTTTAAATGCAAACCGAAATGAAAATAAAAGGAAATTAATAATAAGGAATAAAGCCGCCGACAAACGATGCATAAATAAATAATACCTACAAACGTGCGTCTCCGGAATCCGGGAAAAACCCGGACTCATGTACTCGTGGACTTACGGACTCATGGATTCCGGCAAGGGCGTGGCGGAAAATCAATAACAACAAAATATTGTTCGTCTGACCAACAAAAACGACAACTACAACTACAAAAGGCCACTTGATTGTGGTGCACAAAAATTTAATTGTGCTCAATTGAAATGAAATCAAATGAAATTTGCGTGCAATTGTTTCTGTTGTTCCATTTGCTCCTTCTTGGCACCGTAATATCAATATCTAGATTTGGGAACAATGTTGAGGAAATAAATTTTAGAATAAAGAACGAACCGTTTAAAAACCATTGCATACAAAATATCAGAATATGGTTAAGGTAAGTAAAATTGTAAATGATTTGGATTTTAATGTAATAAGCAATAGTTTTAAGTTATGGAAACAATCAGTACTGGAATTCATCCCAAAAATATGATGTATACGTGTATATCATCCCTTTTTGGTTTGTCTGATTTTTAAAGAACTTTACTGTATTGTACACATCTATCCTGAATAAGTATGCACTTCACTCTTAAGTGCCCTTGCATTTTGGTCTTTTGGCCAGCAAATCGTTTATATTAAACAACATAGGCTGCCGGAATTGATTTGTACTTGCCACTCATACAGGAAATCCTCTTCAAAATTGTTCGATAGCAATCAGTTTGGATGAGTACTTCTATCTTTCAACGATCCCATCCCGAACCATTCCAATGAGTTTGTGGTTTTCCTAAGCGGCATTAAGCTCAACCTTTGGCCGTTTCACGAATTTAATATCCGTCATTCTTTCCCCTTTAAAAATCGAGCACGTGGAGCACACGGCCCCGTCGTCCCCGTCGGCCGTGTTATTCCATTTTTTCCCCCGGATTTTTGGGCTTTTTGGTATGGGTGCACCCGCAGTGCTGCTGGCAACATCCAACTCGTTACCAGAAAGCTAAACCGTGCAAAATCAAATAAAAAGCTATGGTAATTGGCTGTCGGTTGTAAAATTTTACAATCATTTTGCAGCGTGGCGTTGCGTTCGGATGCGTTAGCATGGTTTTCCCCATTTTGTGGTTAAAACTAGGGAAAGTTTGTTTTTGACAAACTAAAGCA